TCTCCAAACCAACCAGAATTCCATGCATCACATGGAATTCTACACATGGAAATCCCAGAGATAGATCATTGGGATGGAATGCGCTCTCTCCCTGGAGGGAAGCATCCTGCTTACCTAATTCCAGAAAGTATTAGGCGCAGGTTGGCAAGAGCCAAGGATTGGGGACCCGAGAGTTTGCGTTGGAATAACTGTTGGGAGTCTAACCAGCTAACACCGCATAGCTTGTCATTGATATCGCTGTCTGGCAAGCTTTCTCGCTGCTTGTACAGCTAGGGCCACCCTACCGGTAGGGCTTTGGCTTGCAGGATTAACAGGAGCTGAGTGGGATTATTCGCTGCCCTCAATGACTGGTATGCCTTTCCAAATCCTGTCGATGAACAAGGCTGGCTGTCATCAGCAGTGCCCTAGAGTACTGCAGACCCACCTTGCTCAGGAATTTGACCGACACAGAGCCCTGGCATTCCATTGCCAAACAAATCATCTTGGAGCCAGTTCAGTTTCATGGAGACCCCACTTAACTCCCCTCCCAAGGAGGATAGAATCATAGAATATTATAGCACAGAAGGAGGCCATTCGGCCCATCATGCCTGTGCCGACTCTTTGAAGAGCTGCCCATCAGTCCCACTCTTACCCCATACCCCTTCAAATTTTTCCTTTTCAAGTACCTATCTAATTCCCTTTTGAAAGGTGTTATTGAATCTGTTTCCACCACCCGTTCAGACAGGGCATTCCAGACCGTAACAACTCTCTGTGTAAAAAAAATGATACTCATCTCCCCTCTGGTTCTTCTGCCAATTATCTTAAATCTGTGTCTTCTGGTTACCAACCCAGGCAGGTGCCGTCATAGAATCATACAGCACAGAAGGAGGCCATTCAGGCCATCGTGCCCATGCCTGGCTCTTGAAAGGAGCTATGCAAATTATTCCCACTCCCCCGCACTCTCCCCTTAGCCTTGTAAGTTTGTCCTCCCCAAATATCTATCCACTTCTCTTTTGAAAGTTATCGAATCTGCTTTCACCACCCTTTCAGGCAATGCATTCCATATCCAAACAACTCGTTGTGTGAAAAAAATTTGCACTACCTTCATCAAAATTTTGTAGCTTCTCTAGTCGAGGCTCCTGATTGACTCCCGTCAGCGCCTCCACACCTCAGACACCGACAACATCACCATCCATGGTTGCACACTCCACCTTGCTAAGCCAGTCTAGAACCTTGGCATCTTGTTTGACCCTCAACTATCTTTTCTACCCCACATCCATGCCATGACCCGCTCTGCCTTCCCCCACCTCTACATCATCGCCCGGCTCTGCCACTGTCTCACACAGCAGGCCCCCGAGACTCTCATACACGCATTCATTACATCCAGGTTTGACTATACAAACTCACTGCTTGTCAGCCTCTCCAACTCCTCCCTTCATAGGCTGCAGATCATCCAAAACTCTGCGGCCCATGTCCTCTCCTGCACCAGGCTGAGTAACCCTATCACCCCCATCCTCGCCCAAATCCACTGGCTTCCCATCACACAGAGGATACAGTTCAAGATCCTGGTCCTCACCTTCAAAGCCCTCCATGGTTTTGCTCCCCCCTACCTCTGCGACCTCCTAACAGCCTACCATCCAGCCAGCTCCCTCCGCTCAGCAAGTTCCGGCCTGCTTCACATCCCCCGCCTCACTCGCCCCATCATTGGTAGGTGGGCCTTCTGCCACTCTGCCCCCACCTGCTGGAACTCCATCCCATAATCCCTCTGCCTCACCAGCTCCCTTGCCTCTTTCAAGACACATTTCAAGACCCTCCTCTTCGACCATGCTTTCGATCACCCTGCTTCCATCCCTGACCTTCCTGACCCCGACCCCCAGCTCAGATCCAAAACTCTGGAAGGTCTCAGAACTGAACAATTAAGCAGTTTAAATTGTTTACCTTCTTGTGCTAATGGCAGAGATCAGTCTACTCAGCCTATTGTTTTAGTCAGTGGCTCTTGATAATAATAATCCTTGCATTTGATATAGCACCTTCGAGACATCTCAAAGCAGTTCACAGAATATATTGAGAAGTGAATTGACTCTATATTTTGTGGGTGAAACGCTTTTGTTCAAGGGATTATTACCCCTCAGAAAAGCAATTCGCCAAACGAGTAACAACGAGGTTCCTACTTACTGCTAGGTAAACAGCGGCGTATGAAGTAAGGAAACTTGCCCAACGTTTTGCATTCCGTGAACTGAACCCAGAACCTCTTGAGAGTCACCACTGATCCTCTGTGAGAAACACCTGATAATAATATTTGCATTTGATACAGCAACTTATCACGTCTTCGAGACGTATCATAGCGTTTCACAGAATATACTGTAAAGTAAATTGACTGTATATTTTACTTGCCAAACGCGGCAGCCAATTGCGCACAGCAGCGTCCCACAAACGGTTGTGGATGAAGTGACCAGATTGTTTACCGCTCCACTCTAGCCTCGGCCAAGTCGTCCTTCTACTCCAGGATAATCCTGGAGGCGAAGAACAACCCCAGGCTACTGTTTTCCACCACAACCCGACTCCTCCGTCCCCCCCGCCACCCCGCGCAGGTCATCTCCTCCAACCTTCACTGCGAGGAGATGCTGGATTTCCTTGAATCCAAGATCAAGGGAATCCGCTCCGCGGTCACTTCCCCTCCAACTTCCACCCACCACCCACCCCTTCCCTCCCACACTCCGACTCCTACCCATCCTCCCCTACACACCTTCGTACCCGTTTCCCCACCCTCTGTCACTGAACTCATCCTATCCCTAAAACCAACCACCTGCTCCCTTGACCCCATCCCCACTCCACTCCTTATCTCCCAGCTCCACTTTCTTGCCCCACATATCACTGACATCATCAACCTGTCCCTCTCCTCTGGCTCTGTCCCCATTCCATTAAAAACTGCCATCATCACGCCCACCCTGAAAAAACCCTCCCTTGATGCGTCGCAGCTATCAAGCTACCGGCCCATCTCCAACCTCCCCTTTCTCTCCAAGGTCTTGGAAAGAGTTATCGCCTCCCAACTGCGCTCTTTCCTTTCCACCCATTCTCTTTTCGAACCCCTTCAGTCAGGTTTCCGTGCTGCCCATAGCACAGAAACTGCCCTGGTCAAGGTCACCAATGATATCCTGACCATCTGTGACCAGGGCTCCCTCTGTCTCCTCGTCCTATCGGCAGCATTCGATACGGTCGACCACGCTATCCTACTCCACCGCTTGTCCTCCCACCTCAACCTTCAAGGCACTGTCCTTGAATGGTTTAGGTCGTACCTTTCTCACCGTCTTCATTTTGTCTCGACGAATGGCTTCTCCTCCACCCCCCGCACTGTCTCATGTGGTGTCCCTCAGGGCTCTGTCCTCGGTCCCCTCCTCTTCACCCTCTATATGCTCCCCCTGTGGTGACATCATCCGCAGACATGGAGTTAACTTCCACATGTATGCGGATGACACCCAACTCTACCTTTCCTCCTCTACTCTCAACTCCACGACCACCGATGTCCTGACAGCTGTCTGTCCGACATCGAGTCCTGGACGAGAGACAACTTTCTTCAGCTCAACGTGCGAAAAACCGAGGCCCTCCTGATTGGCTCACGTCAGCGCCTCCGCACCTCAGGCGCTGACACCATCAGCATCCAAGGCTGCACTCTCCACCTCTCAAAGCCAGTCAGGAACCTCGGCGTTTTGTTCGACCCTGAGCTGTCCTTTCTCCCTCACATCCGCACCACAACTGGCACCGCCTTCCATCACCTCCGGAACATCGCCAGACTACGGCACTACCTCACCCCTCACGCGGCTGAAACCCTGGTTCACGCCTTTGTCACCTCAAGGCTGGACTATGGGAACTCTCTCCTCGCCGGCCTTCCCGCCACCTCCCTCCACACTGCAGGTCATTCAGAACTCTGCAGCTCGTGTACTGTCCCGCACCAGGCTTCGCGACCACATCACTCCCACCCTCGCTCGCCTCCACTGGCTCCCCATCCCCAGAGGATTGATTTCAAGATCCTCATCCTCACCTACAAGGCCATTCACGGCCTTGCTCCCTCCTACCTCTCCAACCTACTATCCCCCTACCTACCTGCCCGTACCCTCCGTTCCTCTGGCTCCGGTCTGCTCCACGTCCCCCGCCCCAACCGCCCTACCATCGGTGGTCGGGCCTTCAGCCTCTCAGCCCCCAGGCTCTGGAACTCCATCCCCCAGTGCCTTCGCCGCTTCCTCCCTTTCCTCCTTCAAGGCCGGTCTCAAAACCTTTCTCTTTGACCGAGCCTTCAGCTCCCCTCTCGACTCTCTTCCCCCTCCTCGCTCCCTCCCTTCCCTCCCCTCACCCTGACCATTTCCCCCTCCTCGCTCCCTCCCTTCCCTCCCCTCACCCTGACCATTTCCCCCCTCCTCGCTCCTTCCCCTCACCCTGACCATTTCCCCCTGCTCGGGTCATGACTCAACTGTGCAGCGCCTTGGGACGTCCTCCTGACGTGAAAGGCGCTTTATAAATGGAATCTTGTTGTTGTTGTTGTTGTTGTTATTTTTTTTAAACAGGGATTATTAAACCCGGAAAGGTGATTCACCAATCAATGAACAACCAGGTTCCTACTTACTGTTAGGCAAACACGGGCGTATCGACTATGGAAACTGGCCCAACGTTTCGCATTCCGGGAATCGAACCTAAGTTCTCTCGCTTGCGAGGCGAGTGCTCTACCCACTGAGCTACAGGACTCCACAGCTCTGACAGCCCAGCTCTAGAATAGCCTATGTATTCCATACAACACTCTGTTGAGATGCTAAAGAATATGCCTTGAGCAGCGATCTTCTTCTGCAAGAAACTTAGTGAACAATTCTCTGGGGAAGGGTTGGCGTGGGCGACTGTAATTAGCCACCTCCCCCCACTACCATAGTGAGTTTGTTACTAGGCCTCAATTAAGAAATACCTCGTCGCTACACTAGGAAGATGGGGTTGTTGTGCTGGAAGGATGAGATAAGATGGGGCAATGGGCTTCTTACCTGCCGCCAAACCACTTGCTGCTTTTCCTCCTGCGTTGGCTGCTAAGGTTCCTGCCCCAATTCCAGCAGCACTGAGCCCAAAGGAACACCCACCACTCCAGCAACTGTGAAAGAGAGAGAGAGAGACAGACAGAAAATGGATAGACTGGAACAATAATCAAAAATAACTCTTAGATTTGATAGAGAGCCTTTATACCAGGACATCTCAGGTACTTAACAGGATATACTGTAAAGTGCAGTGACTGTGCTTTGTAGGTAAACACGAAAGCCATGAGATCTTTAACGTCCACCTGAACAGTCCTCCCCAAGCACTGCCCTGGAGTGCAGATCCCCTCACCCCCATTTACCTTCATTTTCCTCAATTCCAGTTTGGCCTTCTGGAAATCCTCCACAACAGTCACAGCACTGAGGCCCGGGGCACCACACCTTTACTAGTTTTACAGGGCTATTTCTTTTTTGGGGGTGGGGGCAGTTTGGAGGTTCTTTCAGGGGCTGCTTTGTGCAGAGGTTACGGGGGCCATCACAGGCTTCACGATTTCCTGTTGTCCCAACTTAACGGTAATGGAAACATGTCTCTGGCTCTAATGTGCATATGTAGTGTCTGTTGGGAGTGTAGGAGTAACGTTGACATCAGACTTAGCAACTCCATGTAATGGGATCGGATGATTGTCTTTATAATATAATACAAATTTGCATTTATATACCACCTTTCACATCAGGAGGACATCCCAAGGCGCTGTAGTGTTGAGGGGTTGCCACCGAGGTGCGGGTTGGTTGGTGGGGGTCAGAGGAGGGGGCAACAAGGAATGTGTTCAGACGGCCCTTAAAGGAGGTGAGGGAAGGGGTGAGGCTGAGGGACTGCGAGATGGAGTTCCAGAGAGTGGGGCAGACACGCTGACTGCTGATGGTGGGGTGCGTGGGGATGTGAAGCAGGCCGGTACCTGCTGAGCGGAGGGAGCGACCAGGTTAGTACTGTTTGTTGTCGAGTGAAACGCTTGAATATCAACATCTAAATTCCCAAACAGCAATCAGAGGCAGTTATAGGTGAAGCTTGACATTTACAGCCACACTGGAATGTCACTTTTATCCCAATCACAAGGAACAGAGTCACTGCTCAATGGTGACTCGAGAACAACCAGGAATACAAGTTACATCTCAGTCTCTGTGCTGTATTCGTTGTGGAGTCCTGTAGCTCAGTGGTTAGAGCACTCGCTTTGCAAGCGAGAGACCTGAGTTCAATTCCAGACAGAGGGCGAAACCTCGGGCAAGTTTCCTTACTCCACACAGAGCCTAATAATAATCGCTCCAAAACCCAAACAATAATAAATTGGTCATTTTCAATCTACGACTGTTTGTGGGACATTGCTGTGCGCAATTGGCTGCCGCGTTCGCCCACAAATATACAGTCAATTCACGTTACAGTGTGTTCTGTGAAGCGCTTTGGGACGTCCTCCTGACGTGAAAAGCGCTATATCAAATGCAAGGATTATTATTATTATTATTATTATTATTACAACGATTTAAGATTCTTCACTCACTGTCAAAAGCCTTTTTAATACCGTAGCCAGTCGCAGCCCCTACTGTCCCGACCACAGCACTGCCAGCAGCTGAGAGTCCAGCCGCTCCTTCAGGGAGAAAAAGAAGAAAAAAAGTTGATTCATTACTGATCATCGAGTATTACAGCACAGAAAGAGGCCATTCAGCCCATCAAGCCTGTGCCGACTCTTTGAAGAGCTGCCCATCAGTCCCACTCTATCCCTGCAAATCTTTCCATTTCAAATAACTATCTAATTCAATTTCGAAAGTTGTTATTGAATCCGTTTCCACCACACTTTCAGGCAGGGCATTACAGACCGTAACAACTCTGTGTAAAAAAATTTCTCCCCCTCTGCTTTCTTTCCCAATTATCTTAAATCTATGTGCCCTGGTACTTATCCACCGGCCAGTGGAAACAGTTTCTCCCTATCTACTGTAACCAAACCCCTCATAATTGTGAACATCTCTATCAAATCTCCCCTTAACCTTCTCTGTTCCAAGTAGAACAATTCCAGCTTCTGTCATCTCTCCACATAACTAAAGTCCCTCATCCCTGGTACCATTCTGGTAAATCTACTCTGCACCCTCTCCAAGGCCTTGATATCCTTCCTAAAGTGTACTCCCCAGAACTGGACATAATACTCCAGCTGAGACCTAACCAGTGACTTACAAAGGATAGCAAAATATCCTCGCTTTTGTATTCTATGCCTCTAGTTATAATGGAGTCCTGTAGCTTAGTGAATAGAGCACTCGCCTCACAAGCGAGAGACCTGGGTTAGATTCCTGGCAGGGCGAAATGTTGGGCAAACTTCCTTACTCCACACGCCTCTCACTTTTAATAATTCCTTCAAAAATTTTTTAAAAATTGTTCACTTCAATCCACGAGTGTTTGTGGGACGCTGCTGTGCACAATTGGCTGCCGTGTGTTGTCCACTAAATAAAGTCAATTCACTTTACAGTCTATTCTGTGAAATGCTTTGAGACGTCTAGAAGATGTGATGTATATCAAATGTAAGAATTACTATTATTATAAAGCCAAGGATCCCATATAGTTTTTTATGTGAAGCCCCAAGTCTCTCTGCTCCTGTACGCCATTTAAAACTCCTCTCTCCTCAAAACAGTCCCGTTGACTTCGTTCCTCCGGGTCTGGCCTCCTCCTCGTCCCCCGAGTCCTCCGCTCCACCCTCGGCGGCCGTGCCTTCAGCCACTATGCCCCGAGGCTCTGGAACTCCCTTCCTCACTGCCTTCGTCTCGTTCCCTCCATTCCCATTTTCAGGTCTCTGCTGAAGACCTTTCGTTTCGACCGCACCTTTGGTCACCTTCCCCCCACTCACCCTGGCCCCTCCCCCTGCCCACCTGGCCCCTTACCCTGGCTTTTCCCCCTCCACCCTCCCGTCTCCCCCTCCCCCTGGCTCCTTCCCCTCCCCTGGCTTGGTCCCGGGATCCGTTACTGTAAAGCGCTCTGAGACGCTGTCCGGCGTGGAGGGCGCTATATAAATCCAAGTTGTTGTTGTTGCATTATTTATTCTATATTGCCTCTCCTCATTCTTCCACCCAAAACACATCACCTCACACTTCTCTGCAGTGTTCAGGTGTCTTGTACAGGTCCCTCCTTCCCCAGAACTGGTACCAAAGCCCCAGGAATCTGAAGCCCTCTGTCCTGCACCATTTCCCGTGCCACTCACTAACCTGCTTTATCTTGCTGTTCCTGTTCACACCAGCACGTGGCACTGGGAGTAATCCAGAGATTATACCTTTGAGGTTCTGCTCTTTAGTTTCGTCCTGAGCTCCTGAAACTCTGTCTGTAGGAGCTCAACCCTTTTCATTTCCACAATATTGGTTACAACATGGAACACGACTTCTGGCTGTTCCCCTCCCAACACAGAAAGTTCCACACCCGCTCCGCATCCTCCACCCTGGCACCAGGGAGGCAACACACCATGTGAGGCAACACACCATGTGAGACAACACACCATGTGAGACTCATAACTACAGCTGCAGAAACTCCTGTCTATCCCCCTAACTGTTGAATCCCCAATGACAATAGCATTGCTCCACTTCCCTGTGGAGTTGTTTGCCCCACTCTGCCGTGGACTTGCCTAAGATTGCCCTCCCCCGAGGGGTCGTCACCCTCACAGTATTCAGCACAGAAATCCTGTTTGTGAGTGCCACACTCCCGGGGGATCTCTGCACTGCCTGTCTCTGCTTCCGACCAATGCCGGGTGGTCACCCACTCACTCTCCTCCTGAACTCCCTGTGGCCGTGGGGTGATCACCTCCTGAAACGTACGATCCATAAAGGCTTCAGCTTCCCGTATGCACTGCAGTGACACCAGCCTCTCCTCAAATTCAGAAACCCTGAGCTCAAGCTCGAGCAGCCGGAGACACTTTCTGCACACGTGGTTGTCCAGTACAAGCGAAGGACAGTCACTAGTTGGTCATTTGACACCCAACAAGCAGAAGCTGCTGCCCTCTCTGCAAACCAATCACAGTGGATTCCAGGCACTGGATGTACAAACACAGGACCATGATTCCACACTTGGATACAATCACTACACTTGACAGCAATTCCCTGTGAAGCACTTTGAGACGGGCGCAGGATCAAATGCAATAATTTATCTCAAACAGAACGTAAGCTGCCAACTCCATTTGCGCGATGCTGCCCTGAAACAGAGGGCTTCACTGATGAAGTTTGCTAACCCTGGCTTTCAATAATCCTTACATTTGATATCAACCCTTCAACATCTTAAAGCTCTTCACAGGATTTACTGTAAAGTGTAGTGACTGTCTATTTTGTAGATGGATTCAATATTCCAAATAAAACAGGACAATATAATCTCTTTTTAATGCTTTACTGTGAGTTTCACTTGAGTTTTCTGGAGATGGTTGTATGTAATCGGCAACACAATGCGGTTTGACAACATGGCTTTTAACTGCCCTCAACTCCATCCGTCCTGTGCTCAAACACTTAGTGTCAGGGCCGTGCACTGGGCTGAGGGAAGGTCTCAGAACTGCACAATTAAGCAGCTTAACTTGTTTACCTTTTTATGCTAACGGCAGAGATCAGTCTACTCAGCCTATTCTTTTAGTCAGTGCCTCCTGAGAATAACAGTAATAATCCTTGCATTTGATATAGCGCCTTACCACATCTGAGTCATGTCAAAGCGCTTCAGAGAATACACTGTAAAGTGAGTTGGCTGTATATTTTGTTGGCAAAACACAGCAGGAAATTGACACAGCAGTGTCCTACAAACAGTCGCGGATTAAGTGATCAAATTTTTATAATTTTTTAAGGTGATTATTACCCCCGCAAAGGCGATCGCCAATCAAAGAACAGCCAGGTTCCTACTTACTGATAGGTAACCAGAGGAGTGTGGAGTGAGGAAACCGGCCCAACGTTTTGCCTTCTGTGAATCTAAACAAGGTCCTTTCGCTTGCGAGGCGAGTGCTCTAACCACTGAGCTACAGGACTCCACAGCTCTGACAGCCCAGCTCTAGAATAGCCTATGTATTCCATACAACACTCTGTTGAGATGCTAAAGAATATGCCTTGAGCAGCGATCTTCTTCTGCAAGAAACTTAGTGAACAATTCTCTGGGGAAGGGTTGGCGTGGGCGACTGTAATTAGCCACCTCCCCCCCACTACCATAGTGAGTTTGTTACTAGGCCTCAATTAAGAAATACCTCGTCGCTACACTAGGAAGATGGGGTTGTTGTGCTGGAAGGATGAGATAAGATGGGGCAATGGGCTTCTTACCTGCCGCCAAACCACTTGCTGCTTTTCCTCCTGCGTTGGCTGCTAAGGTTCCTGCCCCAATTCCAGCAGCACTGAGCCCCAAAGGAACACCCACCACTCCAGCAACTGTGAAAGAGAGAGAGAGAGACAGACAGAAAATGGATAGACTGGAACAATAATCAAAAATAACTCTTAGATTTGATAGAGAGCCTTTATACCAGGACATCTCAGGTACTTAACAGGATATACTGTAAAGTGCAGTGACTGTGCTTTGTAGGTAAACACGAAAGCCATGAGATCTTTAACGTCCACCTGAACAGTCCTCCCCAAGCACTGCCCTGGAGTGCAGATCCCCTCACCCCCATTTACCTTCATTTTCCTCAATTCCAGTTTGGCCTTCTGGAAATCCTCCACAACAGTCACAGCACTGAGGCCCGGGGCACCACACCTTTACTAGTTTTACAGGGCTATTTCTTTTTTGGGGGTGGGGGCAGTTTGGAGGTTCTTTCAGGGGCTGCTTTGTGCAGAGGTTACGGGGGCCATCACAGGCTTCACGATTTCCTGTTGTCCCAACTTAACGGTAATGGAAACATGTCTCTGGCTCTAATGTGCATATGTAGTGTCTGTTGGGAGTGTAGGAGTAACGTTGACATCAGACTTAGCAACTCCATGTAATGGGATCGGATGATTGTCTTTATAATATAATACAAATTTGCATTTATATACCACCTTTCACATCAGGAGGACATCCCAAGGCGCTGTAGTGTTGAGGGGTTGCCACCGAGGTGCGGGTTGGTTGGTGGGGGTCAGAGGAGGGGGCAACAAGGAATGTGTTCAGACGGCCCTTAAAGGAGGTGAGGGAAGGGGTGAGGCTGAGGGACTGCGAGATGGAGTTCCAGAGAGTGGGGCAGACACGCTGACTGCTGATGGTGGGGTGCGTGGGGATGTGAAGCAGGCCGGTACCTGCTGAGCGGAGGGAGCGACCAGGTTAGTACTGTTTGTTGTCGAGTGAAAAGCTTGAATATCAACATCTAAATTCCCAAACAGCAATCAGAGGCAGTTATAGGTGAAGCTTGACATTTACAGCCACACTGGAATGTCACTTTTATCCCAATCACAAGGAACAGAGTCACTGCTCAATGGTGACTCGAGAACAACCAGGAATACAAGTTACATCTCAGTCTCTGTGCTGTATTCGTTGTGGAGTCCTGTAGCTCAGTGGTTAGAGCACTCGCTTTGCAAGCGAGAGACCTGAGTTCAATTCCAGACAGAGGGCGAAACCTCGGGCAAGTTTCCTTACTCCACACAGAGCCTAATAATAATCGCTCCAAAACCCAAACAATAATAAATTGGTCATTTTCAATCTACGACTGTTTGTGGGACATTGCTGTGCGCAATTGGCTGCCGCGTTCGCCCACAAATATACAGTCAATTCACGTTACAGTGTGTTCTGTGAAGCGCTTTGGGACGTCCTCCTGACGTGAAAAGCGCTATATCAAATGCAAGGATTATTATTATTATTATTATTATTATTACAACGATTTAAGATTCTTCACTCACTGTCAAAAGCCTTTTTAATACCGTAGCCAGTCGCAGCCCCTACTGTCCCGACCACAGCACTGCCAGCAGCTGAGAGTCCAGCCGCTCCTTCAGGGAGAAAAAGAAGAAAAAAAGTTGATTCATTACTGATCATCGAGTATTACAGCACAGAAAGAGGCCATTCAGCCCATCAAGCCTGTGCCGACTCTTTGAAGAGCTGCCCATCAGTCCCACTCTATCCCTGCAAATCTTTCCATTTCAAATAACTATCTAATTCAATTTCGAAAGTTGTTATTGAATCCGTTTCCACCACACTTTCAGGCAGGGCATTACAGACCGTAACAACTCTGTGTAAAAAAATTTCTCCCCCTCTGCTTTTTTTCCCAATTATCTTAAATCTATGTGCCCTGGTACTTATCCACCGGCCAGTGGAAACAGTTTCTCCCTATCTACTGTAACCAAACCCCTCATAATTGTGAACATCTCTATCAAATCTCCCCTTAACCTTCTCTGTTCCAAGTAGAACAATTCCAGCTTCTGTCATCTCTCCACATAACTAAAGTCCCTCATCCCTGGTACCATTCTGGTAAATCTACTCTGCACCCTCTCCAAGGCCTTGATATCCTTCCTAAAGTGTACTCCCCAGAACTGGACATAATACTCCAGCTGAGACCTAACCAGTGACTTACAAAGGATAGCAAAATATCCTCGCTTTTGTATTCTATGCCTCTAGTTATAATGGAGTCCTGTAGCTTAGTGAATAGAGCACTCGCCTCACAAGCGAGAGACCTGGGTTAGATTCCTGGCAGGGCGAAATGTTGGGCAAACTTCCTTACTCCACACGCCTCTCACTTTTAATAATTCCTTCAAAAATTTTTTAAAAATTGTTCACTTCAATCCACGAGTGTTTGTGGGACGCTGCTGTGCACAATTGGCTGCCGTGTGTTGTCCACTAAATAAAGTCAATTCACTTTACAGTCTATTCTGTGAAATGCTTTGAGACGTCTAGAAGATGTGATGTATATCAAATGTAAGAATTACTATTATTATAAAGCCAAGGATCCCATATAGTTTTTTATGTGAAGCCCCAAGTCTCTCTGCTCCTGTACGCCATTTAAAACTCCTCTCTCCTCAAAACAGTCCCGTTGACTTCGTTCCTCCGGGTCTGGCCTCCTCCTCGTCCCCCGAGTCCTCCGCTCCACCCTCGGCGGCCGTGCCTTCAGCCACTATGCCCCGAGGCTCTGGAACTCCCTTCCTCACTGCCTTCGTCTCGTTCCCTCCATTCCCATTTTCAGGTCTCTGCTGAAGACCTTTCGTTTCGACCGCACCTTTGGTCACCTTCCCCCCACTCACCCTGGCCCCTCCCCCTGCCCACCTGGCCCCTTACCCTGGCTTTTCCCCCTCCACCCTCCCGTCTCCCCCTCCCCCTGGCTCCTTCCCCTCCCCTGGCTTGGTCCCGGGATCCGTTACTGTAAAGCGCTCTGAGACGCTGTCCGGCGTGGAGGGCGCTATATAAATCCAAGTTGTTGTTGTTGCATTATTTATTCTATATTGCCTCTCCTCATTCTTCCACCCAAAACACATCACCTCACACTTCTCTGCAGTGTTCAGGTGTCTTGTACAGGTCCCTCCTTCCCCAGAACTGGTACCAAAGCCCCAGGAATCTGAAGCCCTCTGTCCTGCACCATTTCCCGTGCCACTCACTAACCTGCTTTATCTTGCTGTTCCTGTTCACACCAGCACGTGGCACTGGGAGTAATCCAGAGATTATACCTTTGAGGTTCTGCTCTTTAGTTTCGTCCTGAGCTCCTGAAACTCTGTCTGTAGGAGCTCAACCCTTTTCATTTCCACAATATTGGTTACAACATGGAACACGACTTCTGGCTGTTCCCCTCCCAACACAGAAAGTTCCACACCCGCTCCGCATCCTCCACCCTGGCACCAGGGAGGCAACACACCATGTGAGGCAACACACCATGTGAGACAACACACCATGTGAGACTCATAACTACAGCTGCAGAAACTCCTGTCTATCCCCCTAACTGTTGAATCCCCAATGACAATAGCATTGCTCCACTTCCCTGTGGAGTTGTTTGCCCCACTCTGCCGTGGACTTGCCTAAGATTGCCCTCCCCGAGGGGTCGTCACCCTCACAGTATTCAGCACAGAAATCCTGTTTGTGAGTGCCACACTCCCGGGGGATCTCTGCACTGCCTGTCTCTGCTTCCGACCAATGCCGGGTGGTCACCCACTCACTCTCCTCCTGAACTCCCTGTGGCCGTGGGGTGATCACCTCCTGAAACGTACGATCCATAAAGGCTTCAGCTTCCCGTATGCACTGCAGTGACACCAGCCTCTCCTCAAATTCAGAAACCCTGAGCTCAAGCTCGAGCAGCCGGAGACACTTTCTGCACACGTGGTTGTCCAGTACAAGCGAAGGACAGTCACTAGTTGGTCATTTGACACCCAACAAGCAGAAGCTGCTGCCCTCTCTGCAAACCAATCACAGTGGATTCCAGGCACTGGATGTACAAACACAGGACCATGATTCCACACTTGGATACAATCACTACACTTGACAGCAATTCCCTGTGAAGCACTTTGAGACGGGCGCAGGATCAAATGCAATAATTTATCTCAAACAGAACGTAAGCTGCCAACTCCATTTGCGCGATGCTGCCCTGAAACAGAGGGCTTCACTGATGAAGTTTGCTAACCCTGGCTTTCAATAATCCTTACATTTGATATCAACCCTTCAACATCTTAAAGCTCTTCACAGGATTTACTGTAAAGTGTAGTGACTGTCTATTTTGTAGATGGATTCAATATTCCAAATAAAACAGGACAATATAATCTCTTTTTAATGCTTTACTGTGAGTTTCACTTGAGTTTTCTGGAGATGGTTGTATGTAATCGGCAACACAATGCGGTTTGACAACATGGCTTTTAACTGCCTCAACTCCATCCGTCCTGTGCTCAAACACTTAGTGTCAGGGCCGTGCACTGGGCTGAGGGAAGGTCTCAGAACTGCACAATTAAGCAGCTTAACTTGTTTACCTTTTTATGCTAACGGCAGAGATCAGTCTACTCAGCCTATTCTTTTAGTCAGTGCCTCCTGAGAATAACAGTAATAATCCTTGCATTTGATATAGCGCCTTACCACATCTGAGTCATGTCAAAGCGCTTCAGAGAATACACTGTAAAGTGAGTTGGCTGTATATTTTGTTGGCAAAACACAGCAGGAAATTGACACAGCAGTGTCCTACAAACAGTCGCGGATTAAGTGATCAAATTTTTATAATTTTTTAAGGTGATTATTACCCCCGCAAAGGCGATCGCCAATCAAAGAACAGCCAGGTTCCTACTTACTGATAGGTAACCAGAGGAGTGTGGAGTGAGGAAACCGGCCCAACGTTTTGCCTTCTGTGAATCTAAACAAGGTCCTTTCGCTTGCGAGGCGAGTGCTCTAACCACTGAGCTACAGGACTCCACAGCTCTGACAGCCCAGCTCTAGAATAGCCTATGTATTCCATACAACACTCTGTTGAGATGCTAAAGAATATGCCTTGAGCAGCGATCTTCTTCTGCAAGAAACTTAGTGAACAATTCTCTGGGGAAGGGTTGGCGTGGGCGACTGTAATTAGCCACCTCCCCCCACTACCATAGTGAGTTTGTTACTAGGCCTCAATTAAGAAATACCTCGTCGCTACACTAGGAAGATGGGGTTGTTGTGCTGGAAGGATGAGATAAGATGGGGCAATGGGCTTCTTACCTGCCGCCAAACCACTTGCTGCTTTTCCTCCTGCGTTGGCTGCTAAGGTTCCTGCCCCAATTCCAGCAGCACTGAGCCCCAAAGGAACACCCACCACTCCAGCAACTGTGAAAGAGAGAGAGAGAGACAGACAGAAAATGGATAGACTGGAACAATAATCAAAAATAACTCTTAGATTTGATAGAGAGCCTTTATACCAGGACATCTCAGGTACTTAACAGGATATACTGTAAAGTGCAGTGACTGTGCTTTGTAGGTAAACACGAAAGCCATGAGATCTTTAACGTCCACCTGAACAGTCCTCCCCAAGCACTGCCCTGGAGTGCAGATCCCCTCACCCCCATTTACCTTCATTTTCCTCAATTCCAGTTTGGCCTTCTGGAAATCCTCCACAACAGTCACAGCACTGAGGCCCGGGGCACCACACCTTTACTAGTTTTACAGGGCTATTTCTTTTTTGGGGGTGGGGGCAGTTTGGAGGTTCTTTCAGGGGCTGCTTTGTGCAGAGGTTACGGGGGCCATCACAGGCTTCACGATTTCCTGTTGTCCCAACTTAACGGTAATGGAAACATGTCTCTGGCTCTAATGTGCATATGTAGTGTCTGTTGGGAGTGTAGGAGTAACGTTGACATCAGACTTAGCAACTCCATGTAATGGGATCGGATGATTGTCTTTATAATATAATACAAATTTGCATTTATATACCACCTTTCACATCAGGAGGACATCCCAAGGCGCTGTAGTGTTGAGGGGTTGCCACCGAGGTGCGGGTTGGTTGGTGGGGGTCAGAGGAGGGGGCAACAAGGAATGTGTTCAGACGGCCCTTAAAGGAGGTGAGGGAAGGGGTGAGGCTGAGGGACTGCGAGATGGAGTTCCAGAGAGTGGGGCAGACACGCTGACTGCTGATGGTGGGGTGCGTGGGGATGTGAAGCAGGCCGGTACCTGCTGAGCGGAGGGAGCGACCAGGTTAGTACTGTTTGTTGTCGAGTGAAAAGCTTGAATATCAACATCTAAATTCCCAAACAGCAATCAGAGGCAGTTATAGGTGAAGCTTGACATTTACAGCCACACTGGAATGTCACTTTTATCCCAATCACAAGGAACAGAGTCACTGCTCAATGGTGACTCGAGAACAACCAGGAATACAAGTTACATCTCAGTCTCTGTGCTGTATTCGTTGTGGAGTCCTGTAGCTCAGTGGTTAGAGCACTCGCTTTGCAAGCGAGAGACCTGAGTTCAATTCCAGGCAGAGGGCGAAACCTCGGGCAAGTTTCCTTACTCCACACAGAGCCTAATAATAATCGCTCCAAAACCCAAACAATAATAAATTGGTCATTTTCAATCTACGACTGTTTGTGGGACATTGCTGTGCGCAATTGGCTGCCGCGTTCGCCCACAAATATACAGTCAATTCACGTTACAGTGTGTTCTGTGAAGCGCTTTGGGACGTCCTCCTGACGTGAAAAGCGCTATATCAAATGCAAGGATTATTATTATTATTATTATTATTATTACAACGATTTAAGATTCTTCACTCACTGTCAAAAGCCTTTTTAATACCGTAGCCAGTCGCAGCCCCTACTGTCCCGACCACAGCACTGCCAGCAGCTGAGAGTCCAGCCGCTCCTTCAGGGAGAAAAAGAAGAAAAAAAGTTGATTCATTACTGATCATCGAGTATTACAGCACAGAAAGAGGCCATTCAGCCCATCAAGCCTGTGCCGACTCTTTGAAGAGCTGCCCATCAGTCCCACTCTATCCCTGCAAATCTTTCCATTTCAAATAACTATCTAATTCAATTTCGAAAGTTGTTATTGAATCCGTTTCCACCACACTTTCAGGCAGGGCATTACAGACCGTAACAACTCTGTGTAAAAAAATTTCTCCCCCTCTGCTTTTTTTCCCAATTATCTTAAATCTATGTGCCCTGGTACTTATCCACCGGCCAGTGGAAACAGTTTCTCCCTATCTACTGTAACCAAACCCCTCATAATTGTGAACATCTCTATCAAATCTCCCCTTAACCTTCTCTGTTCCAAGTAGAACAATTCCAGCTTCTGTCATCTCTCCACATAACTAAAGTCCCTCATCCCTGGTACCATTCTGGTAAATCTACTCTGCACCCTCTCCAAGGCCTTGATATCCTTCCTAAAGTGTACTCCCAGAACTGGACATAATACTCCAGCTGAGACCTAACCAGTGACTTACAAAGGATAGCAAAATATCCTCGCTTTTGTATTCTATGCCTCTAGTTATAATGGAGTCCTGTAGCTTAGTGAATAGAGCACTCGCCTCACAAGCGAGAGACCTGGGTTAGATTCCTGGCAGGGCGAAATGTTGGGCAAACTTCCTTACTCCACACGCCTCTCACTTTTAATAATTCCTTCAAAAATTTTTTAAAAATTGTTCACTTCAATCCACGAGTGTTTGTGGGACGCTGCTGTGCACAATTGGCTGCCGTGTGTTGTCCACTAAATAAAGTCAATTCACTTTACAGTCTATTCTGTGAAATGCTTTGAGACGTCTAGAAGATGTGATGTATATCAAATGTAAGAATTACTATTATTATAAAGCCAAGGATCCCATATAGTTTTTTATGTGAAGCCCCAAGTCTCTCTGCTCCTGTACGCCATTTAAAACTCCTCTCTCCTCAAAACAGTCCCGTTGACTTCGTTCCTCCGGGTCTGGCCTCCTCCTCGTCCCCCGAGTCCTCCGCTCCACCCTCGGCGGCCGTGCCTTCAGCCACTATGCCCCGAGGCTCTGGAACTCCCTTCCTCACTGCCTTCGTCTCGTTCCCTCCATTCCCATTTTCAGGTCTCTGCTGAAGACCTTTCGTTTCGACCGCACCTTTGGTCACCTTCCCCCCACTCACCCTGGCCCCTCCCCCTGCCCACCTGGCCCCTTACCCTGGCTTTTCCCCCTCCACCCTCCCGTCTCCCCCTCCCCCTGGCTCCTCCCCCTCCCCTGGCTTGGTCCCGGGATCCGTTACTGTAAAGCGCTCTGAGACGCTGTCCGGCGTGGAGGGCGCTATGTAAATCCAAGTTGTTGTTGTTGCATTATTTATTCTATATTGCCTCTCCTCATTCTTCCACCCAAAACACATCACCTCACACTTCTCTGCAGTGTTCAGGTGTCTTGTACAGGTCCCTCCTTCCCCAGAACTGGTACCAAAGCCCCAGGAATCTGAAGCCCTCTGTCCTGCACCATTTCCCGTGCCACTCACTAACCTGCTTTATCTTGCTGTTCCTGTTCACACCAGCACGTGGCACTGGGAGTAATCCAGAGATTATACCTTTGAGGTTCTGCTCTTCAGTTTCGTCCTGAGCTCCTGAAACTCTGTCTGTAGGAGCTCAACCCTTTTCATTTCCACAATATTGGTTACAACATGGAACACGACTTCTGGCTGTTCCCCTCCCAACACAGAAAGTTCCACACCCGCTCCGCATCCTCCACCCTGGCACCAGGGAGGCAACACACCATGTGAGGCAACACACCATGTGAGACAACACACCATGTGAGGCAACACACCATGTGAGACAACACACCATGTGAGACTCATAACTACAGCTGCAGAAACTCCTGTCTATCCCCCTAACTGTTGAATCCCCAATGACAATAGCATTGCTGCCCTTCCCTGTGGAGTTGTTTGCCCCACTCTGCCGTGGACTTGCCTAAGATTGCCCTCCCCCGAGGGGTCGTCACCCTCACAGTATTCAGCACAGAAATCCTGTTTGTGAGTGCCACACTCCCGGGGGATCTCTGCACTGCCTGTCTCTGCTTCCGACCAATGCCGGGTGGTCACCCACTCACTCTCCTCCTGAACTCCCTGTGGCCGTGGGGTGATCACCTCCTGAAACGTACGATCCATAAAGGCTTCAGCTTCCCGTATGCACTGCAGTGACACCAGCCTCTCCTCAAATTCAGAAACCCTGAGCTCAAGCTCGAGCAGCCGGAGACACTTTCTGCACACGTGGTTGTCCAGTACAAGCGAAGGACAGTCACTAGTTGGTCATTTGACACCCAACAAGCAGAAGCTGCTGCCCTCTCTGCAAACCAAACACAGTGGATTCCAGGCACTGGATGTACAAACACAGGACCATGATTCCACACTTGGATACAATCACTACACTTGACAGCAATTCCCTGTGAAGCACTTTGAGACGGGCGCAGGATCAAATGCAATAATTTATCTCAAACAGAACGTAAGCTGCCAACTCCATTTGCGCGATGCTGCCCTGAAACAGAGGGCTTCACTGATGAAGTTTGCTAACCCTGGCTTTCAATAATCCTTACATTTGATATCAACCCTTCAACATCTTAAAGCTCTTCACAGGATTTACTGTAAAGTGTAGTGACTGTCTATTTTGTAGATGGATTCAATATTCCAAATAAAACAGGACAATATAATCTCTTTTTAATGCTTTACTGTGAGTTTCACTTGAGTTTTCTGGAGATGGTTGTATGTAATCGGCAACACAATGCGGTTTGACAACATGGCTTTTAACTGTCCTCAACTCCATCCGTCCTGTGCTCAAACACTTAGTGTCAGGGCCGTGCACTGGGCTGAGGGAAGGTCTCAGAACTGCACAATTAAGCAGCTTAACTTGTTTACCTTTTTATGCTAACGGCAGAGATCAGTCTACTCAGCCTATTCTTTTAGTCAGTGCCTCCTGAGAATAATCCTTGCGTTTGATATAGCACCTTATCACGTCTTTGAGATGTCTCAAAGCGCTTCACAGATTATACTGTAAAATTAATTGACTATATTTTGTTGACAAAAAGCAGCAACGGCAGCGAATTGTACTCAGCAATTGTACTCATTGTACTCCAGTCGTGGATCAACAACAACAACAACAACAAGATTGCATTTATAGAGCGCCTTTCACGTCGGGAGGATGTCCCAAGGCGCTGGACAGTTGGGTCGGGACCCGAGTAGGGGGGGAATGGTCAGGGTGAGGGAAGGGAAGGGAGGGAGGGAGCGAGGAGGGATAGAAAGTCGAGAGGCGAGGTGAAGGTACGGTTGAAGAGAACTGACCAAATAATAATTATTTTTTTAAGGGATTATTACCCCTGCAAAAACAATTCTCCAATCAATAAACAACCAGGTTCCTACTTACTGATAGGTAAACACAGGCGTGAGGAGTATGGAAACCGGTCCAACATTTCGCCTTCCGTGAATCGAACCCAGGTCCTCTCGCTTGCAAAGTAAGTGCTCTAACCACTGAGCTACAGGACTCCACAGCTCTGACAGCCCAGCTCTAGAATAGCCTATGTATTCCATACAACACTCTGTTGAGATGCTAAAGAATATGCCTTGAGCAGCGATCTTCTTCTGCAAGAAACTTAGTGAACAATTCTCTGGGGAAGGGTTGGCGTGGGCGACTGTAATTAGCCACCTCCCCCCCACTACCATAGTGAGTTTGTTACTAGGCCTCAATTAAGAAATACCTCGTCGCTACACTAGGAAGATGGGGTTGTTGTGCTGGAAGGATGAGATAAGATTGGCAATGGGCTTCTTACCTGCCGCCAAACCACTTGCTGCTATTCCTCCTGCGTTGGCTGCTAAGGTTCCTGCCCCAATTCCAGCAGCACTGAGCCCCAAAGGAACACCCACCACTCCAGCAACTGTGAGAGAGAGCGAGAGAGACAGACAAGGCTTGTAAAAGGGATAGACTGGGACAATAATCAATAATCAAGGGATAGATTGGGACAATCCATCAATAATCAATCGAGTGCAGCTCCCCTCACCCCCATTTACCTTAACTTTCCTCAATTGCAGTTTGGCCATCTGGAAACCCTCCACCACTGTCACAGCACTCAGGCCCGGGGCACCACACCGTTACTAGTTATTTTTACAGGTTTTTTTTTGGGGGGGCGGCTGTTTGGGGGTTCTTTTCAGGGGCTGCTTTGTGCGGGGGTTGGGTGGGCCATCACAGGCTTCACGATTTCCTGTTGTCCCAGCTTAACGGTAATGGAAACATGTCTCTGGCTCTAATGTGCATATGTAGCGTCTGTTGGGAGTGTAGGAGTAACGTTGACTTTAGACTTAGCAACTCCATGTAATGGGATCAGATTGGCTTTACAATATAATACAAATTTGCATTTATATATCACCTTTCACGTCAGGAGGACGTCCCAAGGCGCTGTAGAGTTGAGGGGTTGCCCCCGAGGTGCGCGTTGGTTTGGGGGGGGGGGCAACGAGGAAGGCGTTTAGACGGACCTTAAAGGAGGTGAGGGAAGGGGTGAGGCTGAGGGACTGCGAGATGGAGTTCCAGAGAGTGGGGCAGACACGCTGACTGCTGATGGTGGGGTGCGTGGGGATGTGAAGCAGGCCGGTACCTGCTGAGCGGAGGGAGCGACCAGGTTAGTACTGTTTGTTGTCGAGTGAAAAGCTTGAATATCAACATCTAAATTCCCAAACAGCAATCAGAGGCAGTTATAGGTGAAGCTTGACATTTACAGCCACACTGGAATGTCACTTTTATCCCAATCACAAGGAACAGAGTCACTGCTCAATGGTGACTCGAGAACAACCAGGAATACAAGTTACATCTCAGTCTCTGTGCTGTATTCTTTACAACGATTTAAGATTCTTTAGTCACTGACAAAAGCCTTTTTAATACCGTAGCCAGTCGCAGCCCCTAATGTCCCGACCACAGCACTGCCAGCAGCTGAGAGTCCAGCCGCTCCTTCAGGGGGAGAAAGAAGAAAAAAAGTTGATTCATTACTGATCATCGAGTATTACAGCACAGAAAGAGGCCATTCAGCCCATCAAGCCTGTGCCGACTCTTTGAAGAGCTGCCCATCAGTCCCACTCTATCCCTGCAAATCTCAGTCAATTACTCCCAGTGCCACGTGCTGGTGTGAACAGGAACAGCAAGATAAAGCAGGTTAGTGAGTGGCACGGGAAATGGTGCAGGACAGAGGGCTTCAGATTCCTGGGGCTTTGGGGACCAGTTCTGGGGAAGGAGGGACCCGTACAAGACACCTGAACACTGCAGAAAAGTGTGAGGTGATGTGTTTTGGGTGGAAGAATGAGGAGTGTCAATTCACTTTACAGTCTATTCTGTGAAATGCTTTGAGACGTCTAGAAGATGTGATATATATCAAATGTAAGAATTACTATTATTATAAAGCCAAGGATCCCATATAGTTTTTTATGTGAAGCCCCAAGTCTCTCTGCTCCTGTACGCCATTTAAAACTCCTCTCTCCTCAAAACAGTCCCGTTGACTTCGTTCCTCCGGGTCTGGCCTCCTCCTCGTCCCCCGAGTCCTCCGCTCCACCCTCGGCGGCCGTGCCTTCAGCCACTATGCCCCGAGGCTCTGGAACTCCCTTCCTCACTGCCTTCGTCTCGTTCCCTCCATTCCCATTTTCAGGTCTCTGCTGAAGACCTTTCGTTTCGACCGCACCTTTGGTCACCTTCCCCCCACTCACCCTGGCCCCTCCCCCTGCCCACCTGGCCCCTTACCCTGGCTTTTCCCCCTCCACCCTCCCGTCTCCCCCTCCCCCTGGCTCCTCCCCTCCCCTGGCTTGGTCCCGGGATCCGTTACTGTAAAGCGCTCTGAGACGCTGTCCGGCGTGGAGGGCGCTATATAAATCCAAGTTGTTGTTGTTGCATTATTTATTCTATATTGCCTCTCCTCATTCTTCCACCCAAAACACATCACCTCACACTTCTCTGCAGTGTTCAGGTGTCTTGTACAGGTCCCTCCTTCCCCAGAACTGGTACCAAAGCCCCAGGAATCTGAAGCCCTCTGTCCTGCACCATTTCCCGTGCCACTCACTAACCTGCTTTATCTTGCTGTTCCTGTTCACACCAGCACGTGGCACTGGGAGTAATCCAGAGATTATACCTTTGAGGTTCTGCTCTTTAGTTTCGTCCTGAGCTCCTGAAACTCTGTCTGTAGGAGCTCAACCCTTTTCATTTCCACAATATTGGTTACAACATGGAACACGACTTCTGGCTGTTCCCCTCCCAACACAGAAAGTTCCACACCCGCTCCGCATCCTCCACTCTGGCACCAGGGAGGCAACACACCATGTGAGACAACACACCATGTGAGACAACACACCATGTGAGACTCATTACTACAGCTGCAGAAACTCCTGTCTATCCCCCTAACTGTTGAATCCCCAATGACAATAGCATTGCTCCGCTTCCCTGTGAAGATGTTTGCCCCACTCTGCCTTGGACTTGCCTAAGATTGCCCTCCCCCGAGGGGTCGTCACCCTCACAGTATTCAGCACAGAAATCCTGTTTGTGAGTGCCACACTCCCGGGGGATCTCTGCACTGCCTGTCTCTGCTTCCGACCAATGCCGGGTGGTCACCCACTCACTCTCCTCCTGAACTCCCTGTGGCCGTGGGGTGATCACCTCCTGAAACGTACGATCCATAAAGGCTTCAGCTTCCCGTATGCACTGCAGTGACACCAGCCTCTCCTCAAATTCAGAAACCCTGAGCTCAAGCTCGAGCAGCCGGAGACACTTTCTGCACACGTGGTTGTCCAGTACAAGCGAAGGACAGTCACTAGTTGGTCATTTGACACCCAACAAGCAGAAGCTGCTGCCCTCTCTGCAAACCAATCACAGTGGATTCCAGGCACTGGATGTACAAACACAGGACCATGATTCCACACTTGGATACAATCACTACACTTGACAGCAATTCCCTGTGAAGCACTTTGAGACGGGCGCAGGATCAAATGCAATAATTTATCTCAAACAGAACGTAAGCTGCCAACTCCATTTGCGCGATGCTGCCCTGAAACAGAGGGCTTCACTGATGAAGTTTGCTAACCCTGGCTTTCAATAATCCTTACATTTGATATCAACCCTTCAACATCTTAAAGCTCTTCACAGGATTTACTGTAAAGTGTAGTGACTGTCTATTTTGTAGATGGATTCAATATTCCAAATAAAACAGGACAATATAATCTCTTTTTAATGCTTTACTGTGAGTTTCACTTGAGTTTTCTGGAGATGGTTGTATGTAATCGGCAACACAATGCGGTTTGACAACATGGCTTTTAACTGCCCTCAACTCCATCCGTCCTGTGCTCAAACACTTAGTGTCAGGGCCGTGCACTGGGCTGAGGGAAGGTCTCAGAACTGCACAATTAAGCAGCTTAACTTGTTTACCTTTTTATGCTAACGGCAGAGATCAGTCTACTCAGCCTATTCTTTTAGTCAGTGCCTCCTGAGAATAACAGTAATAATCCTTGCATTTGATATAGCGCCTTACCACATCTGAGTCATGTCAAAGCGCTTCAGAGAATACACTGTAAAGTGAGTTGGCTGTATATTTTGTTGGCAAAACACAGCAGGAAATTGACACAGCAGTGTCCTACAACAACAACAACAAGATTGCATTTATAGAGCGCCTTTCACGTCGGGAGGATGTCCCAAGGCGCTGGACAGTCGGGTCGGGACCCGAGTAGGGGGGAATGGTCAGGGTGAGGGAAGGGAGGGAGGGAGCGAGCGAGGGGAAGAAAGTCGAGAGGCGAGGTGAAGGTACGGATTAAGTGATCAAATTTTTATAATTTTTTAAGGTGATTATTACCCCCGCAAAGGCGATCGCCAATCAAAGAACAGCCAGGTTCCTACTTACTGATAGGTAACCAGAGGAGTGTGGAGTGAGGAAACCGGCCCAACGTTTTGCCTTCTGTGAATCTAAACAAGGTCCTTTCGCTTGCGAGGCGAGTGCTCTAACCACTGAGCTACAGGACTCCACAGCTCTGACAGCCCAGCTCTAGAATAGCCTATGTATTCCATACAACACTCTGTTGAGATGCTAAAGAATATGCCTTGAGCAGCGATCTTCTTCTGCAAGAAACTTAGTGAACAATTCTCTGGGGAAGGGTTGGCGTGGGCGACTGTAATTAGCCACCTCCCCCCCACTACCATAGTGAGTTTGTTACTAGGCCTCAATTAAGAAATACCTCGTCGCTACACTAGGAAGATGGGGTTGTTGTGCTGGAAGGATGAGATAAGATTGGCAATGGGCTTCTTACCTACAGACTGTAGGACAGCCACGAAACTGCCTGCTGCTACTCCTCCTCCATTGGCTATGGCAGTTGCTGACATGGCTTTTGCTGCTAAGGTTCCTGCTCCAATTCCAGCACTAGTGAAGCCAGCAGCACCGAGCACCACTGGGACAGCCCCCACTGCAACAACTGTGTGAGTGAGAGAGAAAAGAGAGACAAGGCTTGTAAAAGGGATAGACTGGGACAATAATCAAAAATAACTCATATATATTTGATACAGGGCCTTTCACATCAAGACATCTCAGGTACTTAACAGGATATACTGTAAAGTGCAGTGACTGAGCTTTGTAGGTAAACACGGCAGCCATGAGAACTTTAACGTCCACCTGAACAGTCCTCCCCAAGCACTGCCCTGGAGTGTGACTCCACTCACTCCCATTTACCTGCATTTTCCTCAATTCCAGTTAGGCCATCTGGAAACCCTTAACTTCAGTCACAGCACTGAGGTCCGGGGCACCACACTGGTTTTCACAGAGACTGTTTTCTTGGGGGGGGGGGGGGGGGAGGAGAGGTGGTCGCTGAATCCACGATTTCCTGTTGGCCCATCTTAACAGTCATGGAAATATGTCTCTGCCAGTAATGTGCATCCGAATCCGATTGTCTTTACAAATTGTGGAGTCCTGTAGCTCAGTGGTTAGAGCACTCACCTCGCAAGCGAGACCTGTGTTCGATTCTCAGGAAGGACAAAATGTTGGGCAAGTTTCCTAACTCCACATGCCTCTCCTAGCAGTAAATTGTTAGTCAATTGGTGGATCGTTTTTCCGGGTTTAATAATTCCTTGAAAAAATATCATAATAATAATCTGGTCACTCAAACTACAATTGTTCGTGGGACGCTGCTGTGTGCAATTGGCTGCCGCTTTTCGCCTAGTCAATTCACTTTACAGTATATTCTGTGAAAAGCTTTGAGACGTCTCAAAGAAGTGATGAGGCAATATATCAAATGCAAGGCTTATTATTAGGATTATTAATGCAAATTTGCATTTATATACTATCTTTCAAGTCAGGAGGACATCCCAAGGCACTGGAGAGTCGAGGTAGATGGGAGGAGGAGGTGGCAACGAGGAAGGTGCTTAAATGGCCCTTAAAGGAGGCGAGGGAAGGGGTGAGGCTGAGGGACTGTGAGATGGAGTTCCAGAGAGTGGGGCAGACACGCTGACTGCTGATGGTGGGGTGCGTGGGGATGTGAAGCAGGCCGGTACCTGCTGAGCGGAGGGAGCGACCAGGTTAGTACTGTTTGTTGTCGAGTGAAAAGCTTGAATATCAACATCTAAATTCCCAAACAGCAATCAGAGGCAGTTATAGGTGAAGCTTGACATTTACAGCCACACTGGAATGTCACTTTTATCCCAATCACAAGGAACAGAGTCACTGCTCAATGGTGACTCGAGAACAACCAGGAATACAAGTTACATCTCAGTCTCTGTGCTGTATTCTTTACAACGATTTAAGATTCTTTAGTCACTGACAAAAACCTTTTTAATACCGTAGCCAGTCGCAGCCCCTACTGTCCCGACCACAGCACTGCCAGCAGGTGAGAGTCCAGCCGCTCCTTCAGGGGGAGAAACAAGGAAAAAAGCGACTTTTTAGTGATAATTTATCAATTCCAACAAAGTTAACACTTTCCCTCAATTCATTTGGCCACGTTTTGCCCACAAATATACGGTCAATTCACTTTTCAGTACATTCTGTAAAGCGCTTTGAGACGTCTAGAAGACGTGAAAAGCGCTATATCAAATACAAGGATTATTATTATTTATTATTTCTGAACTTTGTTAAAATGAGGGGTGTGGGTTCAAGCCCCATGTCGAGACTCTCAAGTTGTGTCTAGGCTTAGGCTCTTGTTCAGGACTGCGGGGTTGGGGCGGGGGACACTACATGACAGACAAACACAATCACTGCATTTGGTTTTGATTAGCCGAGTCTCTGCCACATGCGGAAACCAATAACCGTGCATAGAATTCCATGCATCCCACCTACACATGGAAATCCCAGAGATAGATCGTTGGGATGGAATGCGCTCTCTCCCTGGAGGGAAGCATCCTGCTTACCTAATTCCAGAAAGTATTAGGTGCAGGTTGGCAAGAGCCAAGGATTGGGGACCCGAGAGTTTGCGTTGGAATAACTGTTGGGAGTCTAACCAGCTAACACCGCATAGCTTGTCATTGATATCGCTGTCTGGCAAGCTTTCTCGCTGCTTGTACAGCTAGGGCCACCCTACCGGTAGGGCTTTGGCTTGCAGGATTAACAGGAGCTGAGTGGGATTATTCGCTGCCCCAGTGACTGATTTGCCCTTCCAAGTCCTGCTGATGAGCTAGGCTTGGCTGGGCTGTGATCAGCAGTGCCATGGAACACACCGGAACTGCCTTACTCAGGAACCGCACCGACAGAGGCTCAATTCCAACATTCCGTTGCCAAACATGTCACCTTGGACCAGTTCAACTCCAAGGAGATCCCACTTCCCTCCCCTCCCCAAAGAGGATAGAATCAAAGAATATTACAGCAGAGAAAGAGGCCTTTCAGCCCATCATATCTGTATCAGCTCTTTCGAAGAGTTATCCAATCAGTCCCACTCCCCCATTCTCTCCCCATATACTTGCAATTTTTTTCCTTTTCAAGTACCTATCTAATCCCATTTTGAAAGCTGTCATTGAATGGGTTTCCTCAACCCTTTCAGGCAGTGCATTCCAGACCATAACAACTCTCTGTGTAAAAAATTCTCCTCTCTCCCCCCTCTGGTTCTTTTGCCGATTAACTTAAATCAGTGTCCTCTGGTTACCTAGCCTCCTGCCAGTCATAGAATCGTATAGCACAGAAGGAGGCCATTCAGCCATCATGCCCGGCTCTTGAAAGAACTATTCAAATTATTCCCACTCCTCCGCTCTCTCCTCATACCCTCGCAAATTTGTCCTTCCCAGATATCTATCCATCTCCTTTTTGAAAGTGCATTCCAGATCCAAACAACTCGCTGTGTGAAAAGATTTCTCCTCATCTCCCCTCCGGTTCTTATGAAAACCATCCTGAATCTGTGTCCTCTGGTTACCAACACACCCGCCAGTGGAAAACAGCTTTTCTCCGTGGAAACCCTGGGGTGCAGGTTGGAAGGGGAGGGGTGCAACAAGGAAGATTTTGAGGTGGATCTTAAAGGAGGCGAGGAAACGGGTGAGGCTGAGGGACTGCGAGATGGAGTTCCAGAGAGTGGGGCAGACACGCTGACTGCTGATGGTGGGGTGCGTGGGGATGTGAAGCAGGCCGGTACCTGCTGAGCGGAGGGAGCGACCAGGTTAGTACTGTTTGTTGTCGTGTGAAAAGCTTGAATATCAACATCTAAATTCCCAAATAGCAATCAGAGGCAGTTATAGGTGAAGCTTGACATTTACAGCCACACTGGAATGTCACTTTTATCCCAATCACAAGGAACAGAGTCACTGCTCAATGGTGACTCGAGAACAACCAGGAATACAAGTTACATCTCAGTCTCTGTGCTGTATTCTTTACAACGATTTAAGATTCTTTAGTCACTGTCAAAAGCCTTTTTAATACCGTAGCCAGTCGCAGCCCCTACTGTCCCGACCACAGCACTGCCAGCAGCTGAGAGTCCAGCCGCTCCTTCGGGGGGAGAAAGAAGGAAAAAAATAGTTGATTCTTTAGTGATTATAGAATATTACAGCACAGAAGAAGACCATTCGGCCCATCATGCCTGCGCCGACCGAAGCAGCTCTCTGTGTAACAAATGTTTTCCTCATCTCCCCTCTGGTTCTTTTGCCAATTATCTTAAATCTATGTTCCCCGATTAATGATCCATCGGCCAGTGGAAACAGTTTCTCCCTATTCACAGTATCAAATCCCCAACGTGAAAGGCAATATACAAATGTAATTTTGTAGTTGTCTCTCCTGATAACTGAAGTCCTTAATTCCTGGTATCATCATGGTAAATCTCCTTTGACCCTCTCCAAGGCCTTGACATCCTTCCTAAAGTGTGGTACCCAGAACTGAACACAGCCTCTAGCTGAGGCCTAACCAGTGTTTTATATAGAGGTTCATCATAACCTCTTTACTTTTGTATTCTATGCCCCTATTTATAAAGCCAAGGATCCCGTATGCTTTTTTTTAAAAACAGCTTTAGCTACTTGACCTGTCACCTTCAAAGATTTGCTTATTTGGACCTCTCTTTTCATTCACCCCCTTTTAAGATTGTACCATCAGCTTATATTGCCTCTTCTCATTCTTCCTCCCAAAATGCATTACTTTGCATATTTCCACATTAAATTTCATCTGCCACGTGTCTGCCCATGTTACCAGTCTGTCTAAATCTGTCTGCAGTCTGTTACTATCCTCCTCATTGTTTACTACTTTTCCTACCTTTGTATCATCTGCAAACTTGGGAATTGTACTCCCTATACCCAAGTCCAGGTCATTTATATAGATCACAAACACCAGTGGTCCCAATACCGATTTTTTGGGGGACACCACTGTACACTTTCCTCCAGTCAGAAAAACAACCGTTCATCACCACTCTCTGCTTTCCGTCTCCCAGACAGTTCTGTATCCGCTGCCACTGTCCCTTTAATACCGGGGGCTTCTATTTTGCTTATAAGTCGCTTAAATAGCACTTTATCAAATGCCTTTTGGAAATCCATATCAACTACATCAACTGCACTACCTTCATCCACCCTTTCCATTATTTCATCAAAATCTCTATCAGGTTTGTCAGACATGATTTGCCTTTAACAAATCCGTGTTGGCTGTCCTTTATTAACCCATATTTTTCTAAGTGAAAATTAATTTTGGCCCGGATTGTCGTCTCTAGTGGAAACAATTTCTCCCTATCTACTCTATCAAAACTGCTCATAATTTTGAACACCTCTATCGAGTCCCCCCTTAACCTTCTCTGCTCCAAGTAGAACAATTCCAGCTTCTCTCATTTCTTCACATAACTAAAGTCCCTCATCCCTGGTACCATTCTGATAAATCTACTCTGCACCCTCTCCAAGGCCTTGATATCCTTCCTAAAGTGTACTCCCCAGAACTGGACATAATACTCCAGCTGAGACCTAACCAATGACCTATAAAGGGATAGCAGACCTTCCTCGGTTTTGTAATCTTTGCTTCCATTGATAATGGAGTCCTGTAGCTCAGTGAATAGAGCACTCGCCTCTGAAGCGACAGACCTGGGTTCCATTCCCGGCATGGTGAAACGTTGGGCAAGTTTCCTTACTCCACACGCTTCTCGCTTTTATAATTCCGTCAAAAAAATAAAAAATTGTTCAATTCAATTCACAACTGTTTGTGGGACACTGTTGTGCGCAATTAGTTGCTGCGTTTCGCCCACAAAATATAAAGTCAATTCACTTTACAATAAAGTTTGTGCAGAGCTTTGAGACGTCTCAAAGATGTGATAAGACGCCATATCAAATGCAAGGATTATTATTCTTATAAAGCCAAGGATCCCGTATGCTTTTTTATGTGAACCCCCAGGTCTTTCTGCTCCTGTACCCCATTTAATACGGGACCATTTACTCTGTATTGCCTCTCCTCATCCTTCCTCCAAAAATGAATCACCTCATACTTCTCTGCAGTATACACCCAACAGTATAACAGGTCCCCTCTTCTGCTCCTTACCTTCTAACCAATAGCTTCCTTTTTTGATCCCTCTAGCACATCATCACTTTCCAGGGCTGTAACAGCACCTTTGATCAATGCGGCCACCCGCTACTCTTTTTCCTTCCCTGTCCCGCCTGAATACATTGTAACCAGGAATATTAAGATGCCATTCATGCCCTTGTTTGAGCCAAGTCTCCGTTATTGCCACTACATCATAATCCCACGTGCGCCTGCAGCTCACTTACCTTGTTTATCCCACTCCGTGCATTTACGCACGTGCACTCCAAACCTGCCTTTGGTTGCTTTGCAATTCTCCCCTCTCTAATCCCTCCTCTTTCTGGACTACTCTTTATTCCTAAATTATTGGTCTCTACCAGTCGTCTATGTTCCCTGAATCTCCTCTCTGATGTTATATGCTGGTTCTCTTCCACCTTCTAAATTTGTTTAAACCATCCCCTACAGCACTAGTCAACCTCCCCATGAAGACATTGGTCCCAGCCTTGTTCAGATGCAGCCCGTCTACCTTGCACAGGTCCCACCTGCCCCAGAACTGGTCACAAAGCCCCAGGAATCTGAAGCCCTCCTTCCTGCACCATTTCCCCAGCCACACATTAATCTGTTTATCTTGCTGTTCCTATATACACTACCACATGGCAAATGGAAGTAATCCAGAGATTACACCTTTGAGGTTGTGCTCTTTAGTTTCATCCTGAGCTCCTGAAAGTCTGCCTGTGGGACCTCAACCCTTTTCGTTCCTACATACATTGGTTCCAACATGGAACACAACTTCTGGCTGTTCCCCTCCCAACACAGAAAGTTCTACACCCGTTCTGCATCCTCCACCCTGGCACCAGGGAGGCAACACACCATGTGAGGCAACACACCATGTGAGACAACACACCATGTGAGACTCATGACTACAGATGCAGAAACTCCTGTCTATCCCCCGAACTGTTGAATCCCCAATGACAAAAGCATTGCTCCACTTCCCTGTGGAGTTGTTTGCCCCACTCTGCCGTGGACTTGCCTAAGATTGCCCTCCCCCGAGGGGTCGTCACCCTCACAGTATTCAGCACAGAAATCCTGTTTGTGAGTGCCACACTCCCGGGGGATCTCTGCACTGCCTGTCTCTGCTTCCGACCAATGCCGGGTGGTCACCCACTCACTCTCCTCCTGAACTCCCTGTGGCCGTGGGGTGATCACCTCCTGAAACGTACGATCCATAAAGGCTTCAGCTTCCCGTATGCACTGCAGTGACACCAGCCTCTCCTCAAATTCAGAAACCCTGAGCTCAAGCTCGAGCAGCCGGAGACACTTTCTGCACACGTGGTTGTCCAGTACAAGCGAAGAACAATCACTGCGTGTGGAGTCTGGAAACTGGCCCAACATTTCGCCTTCCGTGAATCAAACCCAGGTCCTCTCGCTTGCAAAGTAAGTGCTCTAACCACTGAGCTACAGGACTCCACAGCTCTGACAGCCCAGCTCTAGAATAGCCTATGTATTCCATACAACACTCTGTTGAGATGCTAAAGAATATGCCTTGAGCAGCGATCTTCTTCTGCAAGAAACTTAGTGAACAATTCTCTGGGGAAGGGTTGGCGTGGGCGACTGTAATTAGCCACCTCCCCCCCACTACCATAGTGAGTTTGTTACTAGGCCTCAATTAAGAAATACCTCGTCGCTACACTAGGAAGATGGGGTTGTTGTGCTGGAAGGATGAGATAAGATGGGGCAATGGGCTTCTTACCTGCCGCCAAACCACTTGCTGCTATTCCTCCTGCGTTGGCTGCTAAGGTTCCTGCCCCAATTCCAGCAGCACTGAGCCCCAAAGGAACACCCACCACTCCAGCAACTGTGAGAGAGAGAGAGAGAGACAGAAAATGGATAGACTGGAACAATAATCAAAAATAACTCTTAGATTTGATAGAGAGCCTTTATACCAGGACATCTCAGGTACTTAACAGGATATACTGTAAAGTGCAGTGACTGTGCTTTGTACGTAAACACGGCAGCCATGAGATCTTTGGTGTCTGTTGGGAGTGTAGGAGTAATGTTGACATTAGACTTAGCAACTCCGTGTAATAGGATTGGAAGATTGTTCTTCACAATATAATACAGATTTGCATTTATATACCACCTTTCACATCAGGAGGACATCCCAAGGCGCTGCAGAGTCGAGGGGTTGCCCCTGAGGTGTGGGCTGCATGTGGGAGGGAGGAGGGGACAACGAGGAAGGTCTTTAGACGGACCTTAAAGGAGGTGAGGGAAGGGGTGAGGCTGAGGGACTGCGAGATGGAGTTCCAGAGAGTGGGGCAGACATGCTGACTGCTGATGGTGGGGTGCGTGGGGATGTGAAGCAGGCCGGTACCTGCTGAGCGGAGGGAGCGACCAGGTTAGTACTGTTTGTTGTCGAGTGAAAAGCTTGAATATCAACATCTAAATTCCCAAACAGCAATCAGAGGCAGTTATAGGTGAAGCTTGACATTTACAGCCACACTGGAATGTCACTTTTATCCCAATCACAAGGAACAGAGTCACTGCTCAATGGTGACTCGAGAACAACCAGGAATACAAGTTACATCTCAGTCTCTGTGCTGTATTCTTTACAACGATTTAAGATTCTTGTCACTGACAAAAGCCTTTTTAATACCGTAGCCAGTCGCAGCCCCTACTGTCCCGACCACAGCACTGCCAGCAGCTGAGAGTCCAGCCGCTCCTTCAGGGGGAGAAAGAAGAAAAAAAAGTTGACTCTTTAGTGATTATAGAAAGAGGCCATTCAGCCCATCATGCCTCTGCCAACTCTTTGAAGAGCTCTTTGTAGGTCCCGCTCTTTCCCCATACCCCTGCAAATCTTTCCTTTTCTAGTAACTATCTAATTCCCTTTCGAAAGTTGTTATTGAATCGGTTTCCACCACCCTTTCAGGTAGTTCTTTCCAGACCATTAACAACTCTCTGTGTAAAAATGTTTGTTCATCTCCCCTCTGGTTCTTTTGCCAATTATCTTAAATCTATGTGCCCTGGTTACTGATCCGCCGGCCAGTGGAAACAGTTCCTCCTTATCTACTCTATCAAAACCCCTCATAATTGTGAACAGCTCTATTAAATCCCCACTTAACCTTTTCTGTTCTAAGGAGAACATTCCCAACGTCTATAGACTCTCCACATAGCTAAAGTCCTTCATCCCTGGAACATTCTAGTAAATGTCATCCATCCTAAAGTGTGGCGCGCAGAAATGGACACAAGACTACAACAAGAAGATTCCATTTATAGAGAGCCTTTCACGTCGGGAGGACGTCCCAAGGCGCTGGACAGTTGGGTCAGGACCCGAGCAGGGGGGAAATAGTCAGGGTGAGGGGAGGGAAGGGAGGGAGCGAGGAGGGGGTAGAGTCGAGAGGGGAGCTGAAGGCACGGTCAAAGAGAAAGATCTTGAGACCGGCCTTGAAGGAGGAAAGGGAGGAAGCGGCGAAGGCACTGGGGGATAGAGTTCCAGAGCCTCGGGGCTGAGAGGCTGAAGGCCACCGATGGTAGGGCGGTTGGGGCGGGGGATGCGGAGCAGACCGAAGCCAGAGGAACGGAGGGTACAGACAGGTAAGTAGGGGGATAGTAGGTCGGAGAGGTAGGAGGGAGCAAGGCCGCAAATGGCCTTGTAGGTGAGAATCTTGAATACTGCAGCTGAGGCCTAACCAGTGTCTTATAAAGGGATAATAGAACTTTTGTACTCTATGCCTCTATTCATAATGGAGTCCTGTAGCTCAATGGATAGAACATTCAACCTCGCAAGCAAAAGACCAGAATTAAATTCAAGGCAGGGCGAAATGTTGGGTAAGTTTCTTTACTCCAGATGCCTCTGTTTACCTAGTAGTAAGTAGGAACCCTGTTGGTGGTCAATTGGCGGATCGATTTTATAATTTCTTCAAAAAATATTAATAAAGTGATCACTTCAATCCACGACTGCATATGGGACACTGCTGTTCACAATTGGCTGCCACGTCTTGCCCACAAAATATACAGTTGATTCACTTTACAGTATATTTTATGTAGCGCTTTGAGACATTTCACAAATGTGATAAGTGGCTATATCAAATGCAAAGATTATTATTATAAAGGCAAGGATCCCATAAGCTTTCTTATGTGAACCCCTGGGTCTCTCTGCTATTGTACCCCATTTTAAAACTGTACCATTTATTGTATATTGCCTCGCCTCATTCTTTCTCCCAAAGGGTCTCACCTCACACTTCCCTCCATTAAACTTCATCTGCCATGTGTCTGCCCAATCTGTCTATGTCCTCCTGCAGTTTGCTACCATCCTCCTCACTGTTTACCACTTTCATCTGCAAACTTTAAATTTTGCTCTCTATACCCAAGTCCAACTCATTTACATATATCAAAAAGAGCAGTGGACCCTGGGGGACACCACTGTATACTTCCGTCCAGTCTGAAAAACCATCATTCACCATTACCCTCTGCTTTCTGTCTCCCAGCCAATTTAGTATTTATACTGCCCTACCATCAGTGGTCGGGCCTTCAGCCTCTCAGCCCGTAGGCTCTGGAACTCTATCCCCCAGTGCCTTCACCTTGCTTCCTCCCTTTCCTCCTTCAAGGCCGGTCTCAAGACCTTTCTCTTCAGCCGTGCCTTCAGCTCCCCTCTCGACTCTCTACCCCCTCCTCGCTCCCTCCCTTCCCTCCCCTCACCCTGACCATTTCCCCCCTGCTCGGGTCCTGACCCAACTGTCCAGCGCCTTGGGATGTCCTCCCGACGTGAAAGGCGCTCTATAAACGCAATCTTGTTGTTGTTGTCACTGGCCCTTTTATTTCATGGGCTTCAATTTTGCTAACTAGTCTATTATGTGCATCTTATCAACCACTTTCTGAAAGTCCGTATACAACAACAATAAATAATAATATCATTATTAACAACAACAAATTACACTTGTAGAGCGCCCTTCAAGTCAGAAAGACGTCCCAAGCGCTGGACAACCAGGAATTTTGGTCCTGAGCTGGGAATTAGGGTCAGAAGAGCTAACGAGCAATGGGAAGCCTTCAAGGAGGAGATAGTTCGGGGACAGAACAAATACATTCCCACAAAGGGGAAAGGTAGGGCATCCAAACCTCCCTGGATGAATAAGGAAATTGGGATTATAATAAACCAGAAAAAGGAGGCTTATGATAAATGTCAGGTCCAAAATACAGAAGATAATCAAATAGAATATAGAAAGGAAAGAGGAGAACTAAAAAAGGAAATAAGAGGGGCAAAGAGATTGTATGAGAAAAAATTAGCGGGTAACATAAAAGGGAATCCTAAGATATGTTATAAGCATATAAGGAATAAAAGATTGGTCAAAGGTGGAGTGGGTCCAATTAGGGACCAAAGAGAAAATCTTCTTGTGGAGGCAGAGGGCATGGCTGACGTACTGAATGAGTACTTTGCATCTGTCTTCACAAAAGAAGATGATGCAGCCAATGCCACAGTATAGGAGAAGAAGCTTGGAAAATTGGTAAAATAAGAATAATTTGAGAGAAAGTACCAAAAAGATTGTCGGTGCTCAAGGTAGATAAGTCATCCGGTTCGGACGGGATGCATCTAGGTTACTGAGGGTGGAAATAACGGAGGCTCTGGCCACAATCTTTCAATCCTCCTTGGAAACCGGGATGGTGCCAGAGGACTGGAGGGTTGTAAAAGTTACTCCCCTGTACAAAAAGGGGCAGAAGGATAAACCGGGAGCTACAGGCCAGTCAGCCGAACTAATGTCAGTAGTGGGAAAACTATAATCCGGGACAAAACAAATTTTCACTTAGAAAAATATGGGTTAATAAGGACAGCCAACACGGATTTGTTAAAGACAAACCATGTCTAACAAACCTGATAAGAGTTTTTTGATGAAGTAACGGAGAGGGTGGATGAAGGTAGTGAAGTTGATACTTATGTGGATTTTCAAAAGGTATTTGATAAAGTTCCACATAAGAGACTTGTAAGCAAAATAGAAGCCCCGGTATTAAAGGGACAGTGGCAGCGGATACAGAACTGTTTGGGAGACAGAAAGCAGAGAGTGGTGGTGAACGGTTGTTTTTCTGACTGGAGGGAAGTGTACAGTGGTGTCCCCCAGGGATCAGTATTGGGACCTCTGCTGTTTGTGATCTATATAAATGACCTGAACTTGGGTCATCAGAGCCCACTATGGTCCTGTTGGGTTCGATGCCCCAATCTACGGGATAATGCCATCCACCTGACCGCTCCCGGTCCCCGCGTGCGCACTATGGCTGCCGCTATGACCCGAGCCCCCTCACCCCCTCCCTCCCTCCCCCCTCCTCTCTCCCCCCAAACCCTCCCCCTCTCCATCTCTCCCGCTCTCTCCTCCTCTCTCTCCGTCCCTCTCGTCTTCTATCCCCACTTGACCCTCCCACAACCTCCCTCTGTTCCAGTCTGGGAATCCTCCGCCGGGCTCACCGCGGCACTCGGCGTTGGCTGTCCAGCAGCAGCCACACCGACTGCCCCATTCCCCACCACACTCGCCAGCCACCCCGGACACAGACCCGGGGAGTCAACCTCTCCTCCCTCATCCCCATTCCCCCCACCCCTGCCTCACAACCTGGACCCCCCTCCCCTCCCACACACCCTTCTGTCAACCGCTCCCTCCACATCGGACTGCAAAATGTCCGCTCCCTCTGCAACAAGGCCCTGGTCATCAACGATCTCATCCTTGATGAGAACGTTGATATCATGGCCTTGACAGAAACGTGGCTCACCCCAGGCGACACCTTCCCCCTCACGGAGGCCACGCCACCCGGCTACACCTCCCACCACATCCCCCGCCCCAACCGCCGTGGCGGTGGTGTTGCCCTTATCTCAAGGACACCACTTGCCCTATCCCCTTACTCCACTGGCTCTTTCCCCTCCTTCGAGCACCTCACCCTCTCCCACCCCTCATTCCTCTCCCTTAAAATCCTCCTCCTCTACCGGCCCCCTAAAACCTCTCCCACCTTCATCTCTGACATTTCAACACTCCTCACATCTCTTTGCCTCTCCTCTGATCGCCTCATCATCCTGGGCGACTTTAACCTACACTTCACCCCCTCCTGCTCCATCTCCACAGACTTCTCTTCCCTGCTCTCCTCACTCAACCTTTCCCTACACATAAACTCCCCCACTCACAGTCACGGCCACCCACTCGATTTGGTGATCACCCGGGGCCTCAGTGTCTCGGATGTCACTATTACCGACAAGGCCATCTCCGACCACTACTTCATCTCCTTCACCACCTCCACCCCCCTCCCCACCTCCACCAGACCCACCACCATCTTCTACCGCCCTTGGAAGAAGTTACCCCCACAATCCCTAACCGATGCCTTGGAGTCCTCTGAACTCCTCTCCCTCTGGCCTTCAACCCTCACCGACCCCTCTTCTCCTCTCTCCCTCCTCCACAATACCCTCTCCTCCACACTCGATACTCTTGCCCCCATCACTTCCCGCACTGTCTCCTACTCCCGCTCCTCCCCCTGGTACACCACCCACCTCCGCTCACTGAAATGCCAGGTGCGGGCTGCTGAACGCACCTGCGTCAAATCTGGCCTAACGGTCCACCGACAAATCTGGCTGGACCTCCTCAAAATTTACCGCTCCACTCTAGCCTCGGCCAAGTCGTCCTTCTACTCCAGGATAATCCTGGAGGCGAAGAACAACCCCAGGCTACTGTTTTCCACCACATCCCGACTCCTCCG